TTATAAAAGAATAAATTCAGTAAAAGGTAAAATAAATGCAAAAAATTAACAATATTGTTAGAATGTTATTTTCTTTCTGCCTTTGTTGTTTATTCTGTAAGTACAAAAATCCTTCCGAAAGATCATTTAGAAATGTCTACGCTTTATGTCTAAAGAAAACAGGAAAAAAACAGCTTGACAAATGGCTCAGCTGTGTAGAGTACTATTCTTCCAGTGGACTCAGTTCCATTATTACCAGCACCTGCCCAGTAGCTCACAACCACCCAGTTTCAGGGGCCATGACACTCTCTTCTCTTCTGGCCTCTATGCATGTATGATACTGTGTGTGCATGGGGTATACATACATATACACAGGCAACATCACTCACACCCACAAAATAAAGTTACATAAATAAAACTCAACAAAAATTTTAAAAAGATAACAAGAATAACCTCTAGTGCAGAATCATCTGTACAGTTCTGTGTCTACCTTACTATAAACACAATAAATTTGTGACTAGATTAGGAGTCCTAAGTTGCTCATCTTACAAAATACGTATTACTGTAGGCACAAATTTAGTGAATGTAATAACAAAGTTATATGGCCAAGAGTTCTTTAAATTATTTTAGCATGCATGTCTAATATGATTTTCAAAATTTGCATGTGAAATTTATACAATACTTTATTCAATCACCTGTTTATTCAGCAAAATGAACAATAATATAATACTCATATATTCCTGGGATAGAGAAAAAAACAATAATAACCTAGCATTACATTGAACTTGCAATGAGAACAAGGAACAATTAACAGACTGATAAATTCTGTGATTATCAGACAACAATGAGGAAAATATAGCATAAGTATAGACAGTGATTTTAGGCAAAGTGGTCCATGAAAACATTTCAGAAGGTAAGAAGGAAGAATTGAGCCAAATAGGTATTATGTAAATCATGTCTAGGACGAGTAAGAACTTCGGGATGCTTGGTATCTGATAATTCAGGAAGAGTGAGGCTGTGGCTGCAAAAATAAGATCAAAGAAAAGTTACAACAAAAATTAAGTCGGAATCCAGTGCCTTATGCCTGCAAGACCATACCTTAAAATTAATAATAGCTAACTTCTAGCTACTTTATCCTAACCAATCATAAGAAAGAGAAAGAATCATAGGGAGTAACTCTTTGTCATTATAGAAGTTTATGTTATCCATTTCCATCCTTGAGTGCCTCCCTGGATTCCCAAACTTATAAATCCATGACTAACCATCACATATAATTGGAGACATTTATTAAAGCATGAATGAATTTAGTTGATCTCTATCCCCAAGAATTCTAAGACATCTTAAAATAAAACATAAATGTACTTGGGAATTTGTATTTTCCAAATGTGATGTTTTGACATTTCAGAAACAGCTTTATGTTGACATTCAAAAATATATTTATGAGAATTCTGGAAGTATCCTCAAAATTCACAGCATTAATCTAGGCCATTTGCTTTTTAAATTGTGGGTCATGGTCCCACATAGGGTTATGTAAATGAATGTGGGGTCATGAAAATTTGGAAAGAGTAAAAGTTTTCTGAGTACAAAATGACCAAAAATTAATTCAAAATCAAGTGCATAATGAGTCCAAGGTGCTTTTAGCACTGTTTCCACAGGTCACATGGTATAACCTCAAGTCTGCCCTGGTTCTAAACGTACTACTTACATTTACACTTTACCCTTGTGTGTTAGGGCTTGCAGTGCTTTTACTATACATACAAGACTTTCTGCTTTTATAGAAATGTAGCAGTTTAATTAAAGAAAACAAACATAATATGTTTATATCACCATTCCTCAGTATATATTACATTTGTAAACATTTGGATTCAATTGTACTAAAAAAAAAGTTTGATCTTTCAAAATACCATTGAAGTTGCTGACTTAAGATCAGGATAGATTTTCCAACAATTTCTTGAATGGTTCTGAATATTCTTCTGTCATTTGTATTATGTAATTGTACAAGTTGGAGTTCTCAGTATTGAACATTTAAAAATCAAAATATACTTCATCTCTCCCTCTCAAGGCTCAGGGATCATTGAAGAAGTGGGGGCAGAAACAGTATAAGAGCCAGAAGCAATGAATGACAATTGGAAACATCATCTTCTGGACACAGTGGGTCAGTTTAACTCACAGTGGTCCTAACAACATGCACAAATCCTGTGCAAACCAGAGCAAAACCAAAATCCAATGTGAAGAGAGCAGTTGGGCATACAATCCCCTCCACCCTCTGTGGAGCTATTGATAACTGTTAGCTGCTGGGAGACACAGTATCAGTTTTTCTAAAAGCGTAGCCATGGTAAGTCAACCATGCTCCAGTTGAAGACCACACATCAAAAACTTTTGGGCAGCACAATTTGGTCTTGAAAAAAGGGCGGATACAAAGTTGGTTAGTTAGAGAAGGGCAAACAGCAGTGGATCTTGGAAGAGTTGGGAGTAGGTGGGAGTGGTGGTAACAACTATGATCTAAACACGAAATTCTCAAAGAACTAATAGAGAAAAGAAGAAAATCAGAATGTTGACCAACTTTGAAAGCTGTTTAAGACATTGTGTCTCCTTTATTTGAATATATCAATGTAACGATAAATCTTTCCACCAAGCCGCCCAAGCCCCGCCACAAAATGGGTGCCCAAAATAACACACAGAGATTTATATTAGGTACAATGCTGCTGGGCAATGACTAGGATTTCTTACTTGCTAGCTCAGTCTTAATTATCAACCATAACTACTAACCGATAAATTTTAAAAGAACTTATCAGACGCTGGCAGCAGGCATCTTTTCTTGCAGACACATCCAAGAATCCCCCTTCGCTCCTTGTCCCCCTTAACTTGCTCCCCTATTGGCCATTAGTACTTTATTTATCAACCAATAAAATAAACATATACACAGAAGGACCTCACCCATCATCTCCTTTTTCCTGTCTAAATAAAAAGAAGGGTCTTAACATTAACATAGTTAAATATATAAAAAACAGTTGTAAAGTAAGAATATTTAGTCCATTAACATTTAGCAAGATTTAAAGAAAATATTCTACCATCTATCTTATCTTTGTGAGTCTAAAGTCTTATATGTAGCTTATCTTTTATAATAAATAAAGAAAACAATAATCATAACTATCTGTCTTCAACTCCATCAAAGACTACAATAAACTTAAAAAACAATGGTAAAAGAGAACAATATTATGACTCCTTACTTTGTAACATATTGTGTGTTTCCTTCTCAGTGTAAGAAATATAGTCTTGTATGCTTTTGATCAACACTGTTATGTATAGTATCTAATTCATAAGATTACCAAAAGAATGAACATATTAACTGAGTAGGACTGAAGACTTAGAAGCTATCACAGTCTCTCTTTCTTACTTCAGCAACATATTTTAGATTTTCATGTATAAAGAAAAAAATATATTTTTTTGTATTTGTAAGAATACAAGCAGGACCATGTATGTATCTCTTAGGGTCCTCCTTGTTTACTAGCTTCTTTGGCAGTGTGGATTGTAGGCTGGTAATCCTTTACTCTATGTCTAAAATCCACACATGAGTGAGTACATACCATGTTTGTCTTTTTGTGATTGGGTTACCTTGCTCAGAATGGTTTCTTCTAGTTCCATCCATTTGCCTGCAAATTTCAAGATTTTATTGATATTTTCCACTGAGTAGTACTCCATTGTGTACCACATTTTCTCTATCCATTCTTCGGTTGAGGGGCATCTAGGCTGCTTCCATGTTCTGGCTGTTACCAATAGTGCTGCTATGAGCATCGTTGAACAGATGTCCTTGTTGTATGAATGTGCTTCTTTTGGGTATATGCCTAAGAGTGGAGTTGCTGGATCTTATGGTAGATGGATCCCCAATTTTTTGAGGACTCTCCATGCTGATTTCCAAAGTGGCTGTACAAGTTGGCACTCCCACCAGCAGTGGAGAAGTAGTCCCCTTTCTCCATATCCTCCCCTGGAGAAGGGGAATGGGTCAAGATCCCCTGAACAAATTGGGAGTTTGGGAAGAGGGGGGAGTGAGCTAGGAGAATGAGAAGAGGAGAAGAGGAGAGATGCAGAGGACATGAGGGAGCAGAAAGGTTGAGTCAGGGGAAGAATAAATGATGACAGTGTAGATACCATAATAGAGGGAGACATTTTAGGTTTATAGAGAAATCAGGCACTAGGGAAATGTCTGGAGATCTACAAAGATGACACCAGCTAACAATGTAAGCAACAGAGGAAAAGCTACCTTAAATGCCCTCCCCTGATAATGAGATCGATGAGTAATTTGTATGCCATCCTATAGCCTTCATCCAGCAGCTGGTGGAAGTAGAAGCAGACACCCACAACTAATCACTGAACTGATCTGGAACCCAGATGCAGAGAAGGATGAGTGAAGAGCAAAGGGGTCCAGACCAGGCTGGTGAAACCCACAGAAACAGCTGACCTGAACATCAGGGAACTCTTGCTCCCCAGACTGACAGCTGGAATACCAGCATGGGACTGATCCAGACCGCAGGAACATGAGTTTCTGTACAGAAACCTCTGAAATCTATGAGACCTCCTGTAGGAGTTCAGTACTTATCCCTAGCATAGGTGTGGACTTTGGGAGCCCAGTCCACATAGAGGAATACCCCCTGAGCCAAGACACACGGGAGTGGGCCTAGGCCCATATTCCAAAGGATACAATAGACTCTGATGACACCCTATGGAACGCCTCACCATCCAGGGGGGCAGAAAGGATATGAGATAGATAGGATTTTAGTTGCAGCAGGGGCATGGTAGGGGAGGACTGGAGGAAGAAGGGAATTGGGATTGCCATGTAAAACAATCCTGTTTCTAATTCAAATTTTAAAAAGAAAAAAAAAAAGGAATACAAGCAGGATTCATACCTGATGAGGGCCTATCCTTCATGGAGAGGGCCTTCTGTGTGTCCTTGTATGGTGACTCCAATGTGCCTTCATGGGGTAGCAATTCTGAGAAGCCTTCATAGGGGCTTTAGGCATATTCCCAAGGATGGAGCACTTATGAAAGTCTATTTTTGAAGCAAATGTGAAAGTTTTATTCTTGCATGGAGAATTAGATCTAAACACAGGCTTTGAAGGAAACAATCTTCCAAAACATCCCAGCAAGTGAGATTTGAGTGTATACGGTGAGTGAATGCTGTAAAAATAGGATGAGGGATCTGAAAGCCCTTTAGAAAGCTTCTCCTGGAATGAGAAGACAGCAGGAGATCCACACCAGTAAATCAGAGGAAGTGTAGTGGAAGAAAGTAACAATTGAATCAAAGAAAAGTTAGAGAGAAGGGAACTGAGATCGACATGTAATTCAATCTTGTTTGTAATTCAAATATATACAAAATAAAAAGCTAAAAAAAAAAAAAGAAAGAAAGAAAAGTTAGAGACCAGGACACAGGGCCCTTTTAGTGTACATACATTAAGTACTCTACTCTGAAAAGGAGATGGACATATTGAAGAGTTTGAAGAATAGTTATATGGTTTCCTTAGGTTTCAAAAAGTAATATTTTGACTTTTACTTTGAGGGTAAAACAAAATGAGCCATGACCTGATGAAGGCAAGAAAATTCAGGCAGAGATATCATCGGTGACAGAGAGGATAAAGAACCTTTTAAATATACATGAAATAAATATCAGGAGGACATCTTAAATTTTTGAAGCTGAGTATACTAACATATGTCTTTAATGGCTGCACTTGGGCAGTGAAATCTGGGTGATTTCAAATCCAGGGGCAGCCTAAGCTACAAAGTAAGGGACTTTTTTACTAAGTAAAAAAATAAAGTTGAATAAATAAAATTAAATTCCAGAGATGCTTTAGAAATAAGTACAGGGAGCAAAAATGTCCAGGAAATTGGGAAATAGAATTTTCTTTAGCAACATGAATATCCTTGGAAACTTTGACTACAATGGTTCAATAGTATAAGGAGCTAACTAAGATTTACTTGGAATGAATCAAGAAACAATGTCAGAAGGGGTATTGGAAGAAAATATCAAAGATAAATCTCAAGATGATCTAAAAGGATCAGAGATAAAGCTGTTCAGGAAATAAAGAAGATAAAGTCTTGTTCCCTATTAGACAGATGATAGATAGATAGATAGATAGATAGATAGATAGATAGATAGATAGAGTTTGTACACACACAAACATGCACATACACGCATGCCTTGTCACACATGAGGAAGACAAAGGACAACTTATAGAAGAATGGTCAAGGCACTGAATATGAAACAAGAAGGAATGTACAGGAGTGCCTGTGAACTGAGGACAGTCAGCTGGATGAGAAGTAACAATAACTCTTTCCCCCAGCCACTTGAGTTCCACCGCCAAGTTAGGGCCCCCAAATAATACAAAGTTTTATATTAGTTACCATGTTGCTGGCCAATGACTAGGATTTCTTATTTGCCAGCTCTGTCTTAAGTATCAACCATAACCATTAATCTATGTATTTTATAAACACTTTTCTTCTTTACTACATTTCCCAGAATCCTCCCTGTCTCCTAGTCCCAGATATCTTTCTTCTCTATTGGCCAATAGGGCTTTATTTATCAATAAGACAAATATATACACAGAAGGACTTCCCCCATCGTTGCCTCTTTGCTGTCTAAATAAAAAGGGTTTTAACATTAACATGGTAAAATATATAACAAAACATTTATCAAGTAAAAACTATATTTCCAATATTTAATCCATTAACATTTAGCAAGATTTTAAAGATTTTAAAGCAAGAAATTTTAAACTGTCTGCCTGCATTGGCAGTTCATCAGTCATTTTTGTATGTCCTGCAGAATGTTTGGCAGACTCTTTCATGAAGCAAGAACCCTTCAGGACTGTCTTGTTTTGTAAGTTCAGCAGTCACTTTCCTCTGGGACCTGCATGTCCAGTTTATCAAACAGTCCAGGCAAGAACAGTTTTTTGACTGAATGGCTAATCTTGCCATGTTGAAGGTAAACTCTATTTTGAGTTTCTTCGATGTCCATCCCCCTTTCTGATTTAATTGGTGTGCTAGGAGCAGTTGTGTCTCACTGCCATGAAAAACCCTAAACCATTTAAAAATGCCATGTATTCTGCAGGTCTTTGAAAGGCTTGAAGAATATGTATTCATCTCAAATACATCTCTGTATATCTAGAAAACCTAACTAATTTAACTGTAAGTTTTGAATATTATACCTGACTATATAGAGTCAGTATTTAAATATATATTACATTTAAAAGGTCTGTATAAACACAATACCTAAACTAGAAGAGAAATATACATATCACAAAATTAACCTTAAAGTTGTACCAATAAATGAAAATCCATACCAATGCACACTATTAGTTTCCATATCCTATTGCCCTTTTTTCCTTTAAAAAGAGATTGACTGTGATCATTACCATTTATAACCAACCCCATTTAAATAAAAACAAAAATTTATAAACAATATTCATTAATTTGGGTGTTGTTCATGCCAAACTGCTTCCTGCTGGTTGGGGACAATGTCCATACCATGAGGATCATGAAAAAACACAGAAACCTGGCCAGGTCCTTGATTTTGTAGTCTGTAAGGCTGTATCATCTTAGCTGTTTTAGATGTTGCATCACCTGTGACAGTGTTTCAGGGCATCTTGCTTCATCAAACCATATTAATCTGGAAGGAATCCATTGCTTTAAATTTTCTGTGGAAACATAAGTAAAAACTCTTTTCCCAAGTAACCTGTTCTTATATTTAAATTTAAAAGTCAAAGCATTTTTAAGGTATATAAGCTGGATTAATTTAGCAGCACCTATAATCAAATGTATTTTAGCAGCTGTAGCTCTTTCCTTGGCAATTTAAAGTCAAAATTATAATATATAGTATCCAGACTCTGTGAGTATTTTCCACCTTTACCTGGCTTTTTATTTTTCTATATCTTTTTATTTTTTATTTTTTATTTTTTTCTGAGACAGGGTTTCTCTGTGGAAATCCACCTGCCTCTGCTTCTGGAGTTCTGGGATTAAAGGCAAGTAATACCACCACCCGACATCTTTCTTTCTTTCTTTCTTTCTTTTTTTCTTTCTTTCTTTCTTTCTTTCTTCATTTTTTCATTACTTTATCCTGTTTCTTTTATCTCACAAGACTACATATATTTTTAAACATATTGTATACCTTTAGATGTTTTATTTTTTACCTCTGAATCTGTCTTTAATGTACATCATTTTCTTTTTGTGGTTATGAGCCTTTTATCTGCTGAACAACATTGCTAAAACCAAAACCTTGGCTGTTTTAGCCACTGTCTTTCCAAGAGAGCGGCAGAACATTTATCACCAGCACTCAGGGCTTTGCTCACTGCCTTGGTCTATGCTGCCATCAAGGAGCATGCTGCCAGCTTGGAGATGTGGTTATTGCCATTGCAATAATGGTGTGCTCATACACACCATTCAATTGTTAGCAGGGCCTCTTAAAAGAGCCCTGCACTTTTTTTTTCACTTATGCTGAGTCAGGAAACCTCCCTTAAGGGAGTCACTTGAGTCTCTGCTTGTCTCTAGCAAAACAGAGACCAAGTAAGAAAATTTTGCTACCAAGAAGTTGTACTTGTCTGTGTTCGTTTGCTTCTAAACTCCCTTTTTGAGCTTTTGTGAAGTTATTATGTGGAAGTTTGTAAAAACCACGTGGGTGCCATTTGTAGCAATAACTTTTTGCCAGCTGTCTGAGTTCCTCTGCCACATTAGGGCCCCCAATAACACACAGAGTCTTAGTTTAGTTACAATGCTGCTGGCCAATGACTAGAATTTCTTATTTGCTGTTTCTTAAGTAGCAACCATAACTATTAATCTATGTATTTTATAAAGACTTACCTTATTGAGATCACCAGCAACATGTGTCCTCTCTTCCAGGGATCACATGGCAACTCCACTTTACTACATTTCCCAGAATCCTCCTTCTCTCCTAGTCCCACCTAACTTACTTCCCTATTGGCCAACAGTGTTTTAATCATTAACCAGTAAGAGAGACATACATATACACAGAAGGACTTCTCCCATCAATGAGATTCACTTGTATCAGAGGTTTCATTGGGAAAGCAAGCATTGAAAATTAAAGGACAAAACTGTTAATGTAGTTTTCAAGGGAGTGACTGCGTTGAGGAAAATGAAAGGTTCTATCAAAAGAAGACATGTTTCAATGAATTTGAATATTTGACTGGGTGTTAACTTCATTGATCTGATGGTAAATAAGTGTCAAAGAATATGTTTGAAATAAAAATTATTGGTGATCAGTTATATGAACTACTTTGCATTCATGGGATTAACATGTAAAATTCATAAACTTTCCCAGAATTTAATTTGGGTGGATGACTAGGTTACTTGGCTTTTGTTCAACTGTCTGAATTACTAGCAGACTTCTTTTCAATTCACACTGTAACTCATTCAGGATTGTGCATGGTACTTGTAGAAGTGTGGGTGACTCTTTATGGACCTTCAGGGATTGAGGTTGAAATGATGATCCCTTATTGAGGATGTAGAAGAGGAGAACATGCTTTTAAGTTTGCACAAAAGGAAAGAAAGAATGCAACAGATGCACTTGTCAAACTTTAAATTCCTCCACGCAATCCATTGAGCAAGACTAGCCATATAGTTTCAGCTAAGTATAAGACAGTAGAAACCTTTTGGAACAAAGGGACACTTGGTAGGCAGCAAAAGTCCGATAGACACCTGGTGTATGAGGATTGAGATAGACAAGTGTAGATAATTAACTTCTGTTCTGATGCTGAAGTCAGTCTTTGATTTGTAAATTTCACCTTGTTTTAGCTTAATAAGACTCCTGTGAGTAAACTGAAAATATGTAAAGTTGACTTCAATATTAGGAAATGACATGGAATAAGACAAGGTGGTTCACCTGAACTTTAACATATCCCAGGGTAACCTCATATTGCACCTGAAAATTCAGTTTTAATATAACTGCATAAATTTACCTACATGTCCCACTATTTACACCCCAGCTTTGTTCAGACTACTCTCTGTTTGCTATTAAAACCCCAAGATTTCACAGCTCTGCTCTACATAATTTATGGTCTGTGTATCCTTTACCCACTAAAGAACCAAACCATGAAAATTGGGCTTTTGCACTCAGTCATTAAAAGTTACAAACACACAGACCATGCAATTAATAAATATCTCTGTAATGAGTAATATTTACTTCCCTTTTGTTTTGCTGTGGTAAGTCCTTTGGTTTTTCATGACATGCAGATTTTTCCTAATCCAACTGTTTTGCTTTCTATGGGACCAGTGGGAGATGTTGTATCAAATGTTATCTTATATTCCCCAGCATGTCCAGTGCTCTGAGCATCCATTTTTCCTTTTGTTAAGCCTAATATATCTTTGAATAATTAGTATTTAAACCATTAAATTCTTTCTCTTGGCAAATTACCAAGATAATAATAAAACCACAAAAATGTCTTTTCTCCTGTGCCTTAATAAAATACAATTAAAATTTAATAAAATCTCTGAGTTTCCATTTATCAAATTTTGCACATCCTGAGGGAGGTAGCAGCAGTGTAACAGCTAGACCAATTAAATAGACAGTTATGGTTAAACTCTTTAATCCACACAAAGGTGAAAGTAATTCTGTGCTTAACATTCCAGAATTGCTCAGAGCGTTTTTGAACAGAATGTCCGTTTTTATTCAGCCCTGTCTATGTTACAAGGAGTTCTTACTGATTATGTTTGCTAATCTAATAATGATGCTGTTCCTACCATGCTTCCTATCTTGCCCATTTTTTCTAGATGATTAATAAGCTAGAACTATGATTTTAAACTGCGTGTCCACTCACATAATTTAATGCCATTCTTGCCACCTAGAAGAAATGATAATAAATACATAAATAAATAGATAAAAGGGGGAAATGAACATATATTTTTAACTATAAAGAGACATTTCTCAAATGTCTAAAATATCCATGAAGGATTTTTTAATATCATATAGATATTTCTCTTTTTGTAAAATGTGGAAAAAATATTGCAAATCATTGCTGAAAAACAATTTATCTTTCTCTTGGCATCCATCCAAAAATTATCATAGTTCAGTCTCTTAAGTTTATTAAAGATTGAAAAGAAAGATGATAGGTTTCTTTGTCAGATATTTTGGGACATTGCCTCTGCCCTGTTACATACATACATACATAAATACATGCATACATATATACATACACATAAATATACATATATATTATGGATATATACTTATATATACATAAGCATGAATTCTTGCTAGGTTTTTAAATCCTGAGCTGTATAATCACACAGAAAGCTGTGCCGAAACAAATTGGGATCATTCCTTCTCTCTACATTAGCTGGTGGTTCCTGAGGGAAGGCTAAATGCACAAGTATGTATGTTGTGGTTTGTTTTGACTAACCAAGGAATAGACCTTACCACTGCTTAATAAGACATTTAAAATTCCAACATGAAGGATAAGTTTCATATTTCAAGCCCAATAAATCATGGTTACAGCTCCCACTGGAGACATTTATCTAAGATTTAGAAGAGCCAGAAAAATCCAATGTAGATTTCTTTTTCTTATGATTTTGTATGTTTCATGTCCAGAAAAGGCAAAATTGATGACTTCAAATGCAATCTTCAAAGAATTATAAAGAAAATAAAAGGAGTAGGGTTTTAACTATCAAGATTTGTGTGTTTTGAGCGTGGTTGATCACATTTTTTTTTTAAAAATTGTTGTCAACCATTGGTGTTCTCATTTCTTTAAAAAGCTGTGATGCAATGTATCCTTAAAATGTCAGTATGGGCACTTAGCACGTAACTCTTCAAAATAATTTTTATTGTAGAAGTCTATTAGGGGGCTGGGAAATGGCTCAGCAATTGAGTCTTTAAAGGACTGAAGTTTGGTTCCCAACATCCACATGATGGCCAAAGACAGTCTTTAACTCCAGGTCCAGGAGGTCTGATGCTCCATTCTGACCTCTCAGATACCAGACACACATATAATGCACATACATGCATGAAGGCAAAACACTCATACACACAGAATTAAATAAATATAATTTTTAAAATTCAGAAAGTTCCATTTTTAATAAGTGAAAACACTACTTAGGATATATAACTGACATGAATACACAGTAGGAGAAAACTGAAGATTATTTTGAAATTAATTAAACATTGTCATTCATTTAATAGCCAATAAAGTAATTAAAACTGTTTCACTGGTTTTTATTTTTTAAATACGCTATTGAAACTTTTAATGTTAACTGCAGGGAAAGCAAAATATTGTGGCATGTATTTTGGTCCCTTTCCATCTGATTAAAATTATGTCAGAACTAGTTCACTCTCTCTCTCTCTATATATATATATATATATATATATATATATAGTTTTATTTACTTATCTGTCAAACAAAATACTACATTATTTGCATATCTAAGTCAATTCATTCATTTTCTTGGGATAATTGAACTTAAGATTCCTTTAGACCCAGAATTCCTTTTGTAGGGAAAATAATTAACCATCTACAGCCTCAGAATTATTTTAAGGAATACTTTCTTGTATATTGAAATACTCTTTTTGATGCACTTTAAAATGTAGCTAAACACTTTCTTGAAATTTTCAATTGATATAATTTCAAGATTAGACAGATTTTTTGGTTGTTGTTGTGCACTGTTTGAAAGGCTACATAATTTGCTGTTTTCCAACTTCTATCTTTTACAGCAATCTGGTTGTTCTTAACCTTAGCTGGGCAGCTCTGAGAGTAAATTAAAAACTGGATGTCTGCATGCATCAAAATAACTAGAATAGCTGGCTGGGATGAAGGACAGGTACCAAAAGTGGAGTGGCAGTAGGGGTAGGATGTGGGGGGATGACCTAGAAAACCACAGACACAGAACCCTCATGATGTATTTATTATTGGATGTAACCTCAGTAAAGTTCATCTGAGCATTTTCATGAACAAGTCTTAATAAATACTTCAATTTCCAGGAAGAGAACTAAATTCTGACTGCCACAGGATTTAAAGGAAAATATTTCAAATAGACATATAATGATATTTTTTCCCTTTTGAGCTCATTTTACTTCCTGTGCTTCGATATTCACTAGTTGCTTTCTTCATCAAGAGTTTACTGTGTTCTTAGTAGGGAAAGCAGCACTGAGTATGGCTGAGTGCCCTATTAGATACCTTCTGATACACTGTTCCCCTTGGCTCAATTTGGAAAAAACAAAAAGAAAAAGAAAAGAAAAAGAAAGCTGTTGTTCTATAGAGACATGTAGAATTATTTTTTTTTTACTTTTATATATGCATGCTCTATTTACACAATTTCTCCTCCTTCTGTTCCCTCCATCCCCATTCAGGCCCCTTCTCCCCTTCAAAATCATGGCTTCTTTTTCTTAATTGTTTTCATATATGCATATAAATGAATATATATTTAACACACTGAGTTTATTTAGTGTTTTATATATGCATGTGTGTGTAGTGTTGAATACATATGTATGTAAATATAAGAAAGCATATATATGTATATATATATAATACATATATGTCTACATATATACATGTGTATTCAATAAGCTAAGCCCACTTAGTCTTGCCTGCACATAAATTCTTGTGATTACCACTTGGTATTGGATAGCCAATTAAGGAGCCTCATTATTGGGGATGACTGATTCTCCCTCTCTCTGCTATTTTTATTGCCTGTAGCTCTTCATCTAGGGATAAGACCTTGTGAGATCTCCCCCATCATATCAGTATAGATGTGATGGTATTGTTCAGATCTTGTTTAGAAAACCATATTGCTGAGAGGTCATGTTGAGAGCTCTCTGCTATAGATAGAAGATACCACCTCATATTTCACCCATTTGGGGTCTTAAAGTCTCTCCACAGCCTCTTCCACAATGGTCCCTGGTCCATA